AACAATTCCTCAAAATATTCCCTCCATCTTCCCAATACCTCTAACTCTCCATTTAATAACTCTCCTCTCCTATTTTTAACTGACAAATCCATTTGTTCTCTAGGCTTCCTTAACTTGTTAATCCCACTCCAAAACTTTTTCTTATTTTCAACAAAATTTGTTGATAACATCTCACCCACTCTCTCATTTGCTCTCTTTTTACATTGCTTCACCACTCTCTTAACATCTCTCTTTTTCTCCATATACTCTTCCCTCTTTGCATCACTTCTACTTTGTAAAAACTTCTCATATGCTAACTTTTTCTCCCTTACTACTCTCTTTACATTATCATTCCACCAATCGCTCCTCTTCCCTCCCGCACCCACTTTCCTGTAACCACAAACTTCTGCTAAGCACTCTAACACTACATTTTTAAACCTACCCTATACCTCTTCGACCCCATTGCCTATGCTCTCATTAGCCCATCTATCCTCCAATAGCTGTTTATATCTTACCTTAACTGCCTCCTCTTTTAGTTTATAAACCTTCACCTCTCTCTTCCCTGATGCTTCTATTCTCCTTGTGTCCCATCTACCTTTTACTCTCAGTGTAGCTACAACTAAAAAGTGATCTGATGTATCTGTGGCCCCTCTATAAACATGTACATCCTGAAGTCTACTCAACAGTCTTTTATCTACCAATACATAATCCAACAAACTACTGTCATTTCGCCCTACATCATATCTTGTATACTTATTTATCCTCTTTTTCTTAAAATATGCATTACCTATAACCAAACCCCTTTCTATACAAAGTTCAATCAAAGGGCTCCCAATTTCATTTACACCTGGCACCCCAAACTTACCTACCACACCCTCTCTAAAAGTTTCTCCTACTTTAGCATTCAGGTCCCCTACCACAATTACTCTCTCACTTGGTTCAAAGGTTCCTATACATTCACTTAACATCTCCCAAATTCTCTCTCTCTCCTCTCCATTCCTCTCTTCTGCAGGTGCATACACGCTTATTATGACCCACTTTTCGCATCCAACCTTTACTTTAATCTACATAATCCTTAAATTTACACATTCATATTCTCTTTTCTCCTTCCATAACTGATCCTTCAATATTATTGCTACCCCCTTCTTAGCTCTAACTCTCTCAGATACTCCAGATTTAATCCCATTTATTTCTCCCCACCGAAACTCCCCTACCCCCTTCAGCTTTGTTTCGCTTAGGGCCAGGACATCCAACTTCTTTTCATTCATAACATCAGCAATCATCTGTTTCTTGTCATCCGCACTACATCCACGCACATTTAAGCATCCCAGTTTTCTAAAGTGTTTCTTTTTCTCTTTTTTAGTAAATGCTTACAGGAGAAGGGGTTACTAGCCCATTGCTCCCGGCATTTTAGTCGCCTCACACGACACGCATGGCTTACGGAGGAAAGATTCTTTTCCACTTCCCCATGGACAATAGAAGAAATAAAGAAGAACAAGAGCTATTTAGAAAAAGGAGAAAAACCTAGATGTATGTATGTATGTATATATATATATATATATATATATATATATATATATATATATATATATATATATATTATATATATATATTATATATATATATATATATATTATATATAATATATATATATATATATATATATATATATAATATATATATATATATATATATATATATATATATATATATATATATATTTATGTAAGACTCGACCCTGCTAACTCTGTATCAGAGTCCACAGTACTTAACCACGAGACTAGACCCGCGATAAGTATGCGCGCTTAGCCGAAGCTAAGCGATGTTATCCCATACCCCCGGGCACCATTCCCCGGGCACCATACCCCCGGGCACCATACCCCGGGCACCAATCTTGTTTTGAAAGTTATCTTGTTGAGTCCTGCCACATGCAGTGGACAACGAAAGAGATTTGAAATGCTTAATAATTTGCAAACATACGAAATTATTTACAATACTGCATGTGGCAGGATTCGACGAAATAACTTTCAAAACGAGTTTGGTGCCCGAGGGAAGGGTGCCCGGGGTATGGTGGCCGTGGTATGGTGCCCGGGTGTATAGGGTAACATCGCTTAATTTCGGCTAAGCGCCCATACTTATCGCGGGTCGTCTCGTGGTAAAGCACTGTGGACTCTGATACAGAGTTAGCAGGTTCGAGTCCTGCTGTGGACGTAGAGACAATGTTTGTAAATAATTTCGCCTGTTTGCGAATTGTTAAGCATATTTAATTCTTCAGTGCATCTTAATCTCTGTCTGTCTGTCTGTCTCTCTCTCTCTCTCTCTCTCTCTCTCTCTCTCTCTCTCCCTCTCACTGTCACTCCCCATCTCTCACAGGACACGCTGGTCAAGAGGCTGGGGACAGGAGCTGTACCCTTCACCTTCACGGTGTCGTCACTAGCGCCTCCCTCTGTGACTCTCCTCCCAGCCAGAACCTACCTGGGAGCTCCCATAGGCACTAACTATGACCTCAGAATCTTCGTTGGTGAGTATTGTGAGGTGTGGCGGTTGTAAAACGTCTCTTCTGACGTGTGACGGCTGCAAAACGTCTGTTCTGAGGTGTGGAGGTGATAAATGAAGAATTCTGACGTGTGAGGACTCGCAAATGTCTCTTCTGACGTGTGGTGTTGTATAACGTCTCTTCTGACGTTTGGGGTTTGTATAATGCCTCTTCTGACGTGTGGGGGCTGGAAAACATCTGTTCTGACGTGTGGTAAACATAGTATCTTGACGAGTGGTGACTGTTAAACGTAGTTCTATGACGTGTGGTGACTGGTAACAGTAGTATCGTGACGTTTGGTGGTGGCAGTTAAACATGGTATCGTGACGTGTGGTGGCTAGTAAACGTAGTATTGTGACGTGGTGGTGGCTGATAAACGTAGTATCGTGGCGTGTGGTGGCTGGTAAACGTAGTACTGTGACGTGTGGTGGTGGCTGTTGAACGCAGTAACGTGATGTGTGGTGGCTGGTAAATGTAGTGTTACGACGTGTTGTGGCTGTTAAACGTAATAGTTTGTATAGTGGGACAAGAGAGCTTCCTCAGCGTTAACAGCAAGTGAAAGAGAGTTTCCTCAGCAGTAAGAGGAGGTACAAAGCGCCCATGAAGACCGCGGTCCTGGTCCGTGACGAGTGGAGGTGAGAGAAAGACCTTTGAGGTCTGGAATACATGTATAATGAGATAAATTATCCTCTGAGATGTGTTTGCTTAGGAGAGGAAGAGAGAGAGAGAGAGAGAGAGAGAGAGAGAGAGAGAGAGAGAGAGAGAGAGAGAGAGAGAGAGAGAGAGAGAGAGAGAGAGAGAGAGAGAGAGAGAGAGAGAGAGAGAGAGAAAACAGACAGACAGACAGACACCGAGGACTCTATTTCTACCGTGACAGCTGAGTACCAACTACTTTCCAGCAAGCTGAGAACATAAGAACATAAGAAGGAAGGAACACTGCAGTTTACCGATGAGAAATTTCAATTACTCAGATATGGCAAACACGAGGAAATTAAATCGTCATCAGAGTACAAAACAAATTCTGACCACAAAATAGAGCGAAACACCAACGTCAAAGACCTGGGAGTGATCATGTCGGAGGATCTCACCTTCAAGGACCATAACATTGTATCAATCGCATCTGCTAGAAAATTGACAGGATGGATAATGAAAATCTTCAAAACTAGGGAGGCCAAGCCCATGATGACACTCTTCAGGTCACTTGTTCTATCTAGGCTGGAATATTGCTGCACACTAACAGCACCTTTCAAGGCAGGTGAAATTGCTGACCTAGAAAATGTACAGAGAACCTTCACGGCGCGCATAACGGAGATAAAACACCTCAATTACTGGGAGCGCTTGAGGTTCCTGAACCTGTATTCCCTGGAACGCAGGAGGGAGAGATACATGATTATATACACCTGGAAAATCCTAGAAGGACTAGTACCAAACTTGCACACGAAAATCACTCACTACGAAAGCAAAAAACTTGGCAGACGATGCAACATCCCCCCAATGAAAAGCAGGGGTGTCACTAGCACGTTAAGAGACCATACAATAAGTGTCAGGGGCCCGAGACTGTTCAACTGCCTTTCAGCATACATAAGGGGGATTACCAACAGACCCCTGACACTCTTCAGGCTGGCACTGGACAAGCACCTAAAGTCGGTTCCTGACCAGCCGGGCTGTGGCTCGTACGTTGGTTTGCGTGCAGCCAACAGTAACAGCCTGGTTGATCAGGCTCTGATCCACCAGGAGGCCTGGTCACAGACCGGGCCGCGGGGGCGTTGACCTCCGGAACTCTCTCCAGGTAAACTCCAGGCAGTAGGCCTACTGGCCCAGCCCTGCTATCACAAGCAAGTCACATCCAACTCACGCTCACCCACACCCGCTCATGTATTTATCTAACCTATTTTTAAAACTACATAACGTTTTACCTTCTATGACGGTACTCGAGAGTTTGTTCCACTTATTCACAACTCTATTACCAAACCAGTGCTTTCCTATATCCTTCCTGAATCTGAACTTTTCCAACTTAAAACCATTGCTGCGAGTCCTGTCTTGGCTAGATAATTTTAGCACGCAATTTACATCCCCTTTATATATTCCTGTTTTCCATTTATACACCTCGATCATATCCCCCCTAATTCTACGCCTTTCTAGAGAGTGCAGATTCAGGGCTCTCAGTCTATCCTCACGGGGAAGATTTCTGATACATGGGATCAACTCTGTCAACCTCCTTTGTACGTTTTCCAGAAAGCTGAGTACCAACTACTTTCCAGAAAGCTGAGTACCAACTATTTTCCAGAAAGCTGAGTACCAACTACTTTCCAGAAAGCTGAGTACCAACTATTTTCCAGAAAGCTCAGTACCAACTATTTTTCAGAAAGCTCAGTACCAACTACTTTCCAGAAAGCTCAATACCAGCTACTTTCCAGAAAGCTGAGTACCAACTACTTTCCAGAAAGCTGAGTACCAATTACTTTCCAGAAAGCTGAGTACCAACTACTTTCCAGAAAGCTGAATACCAACTACTTTCCAGAAAGCTGAGTACCAACTACTTTCCAGAAAGCTGAGTACCAACTACTTTCCAGAAAACTGAGTACCAACTACTTTTCAGAAAGCTGAGTACCAACTACTTTCCAGAAAGCTGAGTACCAACTACTTTCCAGAAAGCTGAGTACCAACTACTTTCCAGAAAGCTGAGTACCAACTACTTTCCAGAAGCTGAGTACCAACTACTTTCCAGAAAGCTGAGTACCAACTACTTTCCAGAAAGCTGAGTACCAACTACTTTCCAGAAAGCTGAGTACCAACTACTTTCCAGAAAGCTGAATATCAACTACTTTCCAGAAAGCTGAGTACCAACTACTTTCCAGAAAGCTGAGTACCAACTACTTTCCAGAAAGCTGAGTACCAACTACTTTCCAGAAAGCTGAGTACCAACTACTTTCCAGAAAGCTGAGTACCAACTACTTTCCAGAAAGCTGAGTACCAACTACTGTCCAGAAAGCTGAGTACCAACTACTTTCCAGAAAGCTGAGTACCAACTACTTTCCAGAAAGCTGAGTACCAACTACTTTCCAGAAAGCTGAGTACCAACTACTTTCCAGAAAGCTGAGTACCAACTACTTTCCAGAAAGCTTAGTACCAACTACTTTCCAGAAAGCTCAGTACCAACTACTTTCCAGAAAGCTGAGTACCAACTACTTTCCAGAAAGCTGAGTACCAACTACTTTCCAGAAAGCTGAGTACCAAACTACTTTCCAGAAAGCTGAGTACCAACTACTTTCCAGAAAGCTCAGTACCAACTACTTTCAGAAAGCTGAGTACCAACTACTTTCCAGAAAGCTGAGTACCAACTACTGTCCAGAAAGCTGAGTACCAACTACTTTCCAGAAAGCTGAGTACCAACTACTGTCCAGAAAGCTGAGTACCAACTACTTTCCAGAAAGCTCAGTACCAACTACTTTCCAGAAAGCTCAGTACCAACTACTTTCCAGAAAGCTCAATACCAACTACTTTCCAGAAAGCTCAGTACCAACTACTTTCCAGAAAGCTGAGTACCAACTACTTTCCAGAAAGCTCAGTACCAACTACTTTCCAGAAAGCTGAGTACCAACTACTTTCCAGAAAGCTGAGTACCAACTACTTTCCAGAAAGCTGAGTACCAACTACTTTCCAGAAAGCTGAGTGCCAACTAGTTTCCAGAAAGCTGAGTAGCAACTACTTTCCAGAAAGCTGAGTACCAACTACTTTCCAGAAAGCTGAGTACCAACTACTTTCCAGAAAACTGAGTACTAACTACTTTCCAGAAAGCTCAGTACCAACTAATTTCCAGAAAGCTGAGTACCAACTACTTTCCAGAAAGCTCAGTACCAACTACTTTCCAGAAAACTGAGTACGAACTACTTTCCAGAAAGCTGAGTACAAACTACTTTCCAGAAAGCTGAGTACCAACTACTTTCCAGAAAGCTCAGTACCAACTACTTTCCAGAAAGCTGAGTACCAACTACTTTCCAGAAAGCTGAGTACCAACTACTTTCCAGAAAGCTGAGTACCAACTACTTTCCAGAAAGCTGAGTACCAACTACTTTCCAGAAAGCTGGGTACCATCTACTTTCCAGAAAGCTCAGTACCAACTACTTTCCAGAAAGCTGAGTACCAACTACTTTCCAGAAAGCTGAGTACCAACTACTGTCCAGAAAGCTGAGTACCAACTACTTTCCAGAAAGCTGAGTACCAACTACTGTCCAGAAAGCTGAGTACCAACTACTTTCCAGAAAGCTCAGTACCAACTACTTTCCAGAAAGCTCAGTACCAACTACTTTCCAGAAAGCTCAATACCAACTACTTTCCAGAAAGCTCAGTACCAACTACTTTCCAGAAAGCTGAGTACCAACTACTTTCCAGAAAGCTCAGTACCAACTACTTTCCAGAAAGCTGAGTACCAACTACTTTCCAGAAAGCTGAGTACCAACTACTTTCCAGAAAGCTCAGTACCAACTACTTTCCAGAAAGCTGAGTGCCAACTAGTTTCCAGAAAGCTGAGTAGCAACTACTTTCCAGAAAGCTGAGTACCAACTACTTTCCAGAAAGCTGAGTACCAACTACTTTCCAGAAAACTGAGTACTAACTACTTTCCAGAAAGCTCAGTACCAACTAATTTCCAGAAAGCTGAGTACCAGCTACTTTCCAGAAAGCTCAGTACCAACTACTTTCCAGAAAACTGAGTACGAACTACTTTCCAGAAAGCTGAGTACAAACTACTTTCCAGAAAGCTGAGTACCAACTACTTTCCAGAAAGCTCAGTACCAACTACTTTCCAGAAAGCTCAGTACCAACTACTTTCCAGAAAGCTCAGTACCAACTACTTTCCAGAAAGCTGAGTACCAACTACTTTCCAGAAAGCTGAGTACCAACTACTTTCCAGAAAGCTGGGTACCATCTACTTTTCAGAAAGCTGAGTACCAACCACTTTCCAGAAAAAAGTCCACTGTGTGGGC